AGACTGTCTGTAGAAATATGGATGTTGAGGACACTGTTGGTGAAGCATCAGAAGGATTGATTAGAAGAGAGTGAGGACCGCATTATTGGAAACAGGAGCAAAGGGACCCTTATTTTATACTGCAGAAAGTTTAGCAAAGGGGCGCCTGGGTGGCTCAGTCGTTAAGCGCCTGCCTTCGGCTCAGGTCGTGATCCCCGGGTCCTGGGATCGAGCCCCACATCGGGCTCCCTGCTCGGCGGGAAGCCTGCTTCTCCTTCTCCCACTCCCCCTGCTTGTGTTCCCTCTCTTGCTGTGTCTCTCTATCAAATAAATAAAATCTTAAAAAAAAAAAAAGAAAGAAAGAAAGAAAGCTTAGCAAAACTGCCTGCAGTTATGTAGAATTGATAAGGGATGAACCTGGTATATAGCGAAGGAGATTTCCAGGCAGTGCGGAAGATGCTTCCTGCTCTCTTCCCACTACTCACAGTAGAACCCAAGAGGAGACGGATAGAGTTACACAAAAATGAAGTAGGACTAAATGATTCAGAAAATTCTCAGCCTCGGGGCGCCTGGGTGGCTCAGTCAGTGAAATGGCTGCCTTCGGCTCAGGTCATGATCCCAGGGTCCTGGGATCGAGCCCCGCATCGGGCTCCTTCCTCAGCAGGGAGCCTGCTTCTTCCTCTCCCTCTGCCTGCCGCTCCCCCTGCTTGTGCTCTCCCTCTCTCTATCTCTATCAAATAAATAAATAAAATCTTAAAAAAAAAGAAAAGAAAATTCTCGGCCTCTCCAGATGGCAAAAGATGCTAAAACTCAGAAGGGCTGCTGAACGTGTGGCACAGAGAGAAGGCCCAGTGTGTGACTGCACCACCTTTTGTTAGAACCTCAAAGCGAACGAAAGGTCAGGACGTTCAGCCCCACCGAGGGCCCTTTAAGAGATTAGGGGTGTGGGCACCTCAAAGGTCTTCTCAGCTGAGCCAGGGGCATCTAGGAAGCTTGCAGAGAAAAAGAGAGACCTGTGGATGTGGCTTCTGTCTAGTGGGGTAAAAAGAAACGAATTCATACAAGCTGCCCAAAGTTCTCAAGAAAATTATTTCAGCAGAAAGCCTGCCACCTTGGACTAAAAAGGGACAGTGAGAGTACACAATGAAAGGAGAGTCTTGGACCCCCAAAACTCCACTGGGGGGTGCAGATTGGTAAAACTACTCCATCGCAACCATGTCACCTTTCCTAAAAAAGGAAGGAGGGCAAGAGTTGGGGAGCTGTGTGCCCAGAAGAAAGAGGCAAGAGTTCCAGAGAATTCTTCCCAGGTCTTGAAGCTGAGTCCAGAGAAGTGAAACATTTACCTGGCTAGATTTCAAGAGCGTTATGGACCCATGGCTCCTTCCGACCTTTATGTCCCCTGTCTGAGATGGAATGTCTGTAACCATTGTCCCGTGCCTTCCCACTGCCGTGTGCTGGCCGTGGCAGAGCTAAGAACCTGTCCCTTGGCTTCCCAGGCCCACGAGTGGAGGGGAACCGTGTCCTGGCCACTGCACCTGCTGGGGGACACCCGGGAGCCCTCATCTGGACCTGGACCTGACTTAGGTTTTTGGACTTTCAGCTGATTCGGATGATTAGATTCAGATGATGCAATTTTGGACTTTGTACTCATACTGTAATGAGATGAGACTCAGGAACCTGGGGAGGGAGTGAATGTATTTTTCACATGGAAGGGGCGTCAACTACTTGGGGGCCAGAGGGTGGGCTGTGGTAGGCAGAAGGCTTAGATGAGCTCCACGTTTCCTGCCTCCTGGCGAACATGCTCTGTGTGGTCTCCTCCCCTGGAGTGGGGCAGGACCTCGGAATGTAATGGGATACCACTGCACTGGAGAACTTTTGTGGATGTGTAATTCATGTCTTGAATCAGATGGCTTTTGAGTTAAGAGATGGAAGATTATCCTGGGTCAAACTGACCTAATCAAGTGAGCCCTTAAAAGAGCTAAGAATAAGCAGCAGGCACTCTCCCACAGGCCTTAAAGAAGCAAACTGTCTCTTTGTGGAGAGGGCCACATGGCGGGGAGCAGAAAGTGACCTTTTAGAGCTGAGGTCCTCAGTTCTGTGGCCCCAGGGAATTGAATTCCACCAACAACCAGGGAGCTTGGAGGAGGACCCTGAGTCTCAGATGAGATCACAGCCAAGGTGGACACCTCAACTGCAGCCTTGGGAGCCCCTGAGCAGAGAATCTAGTCAAGCCATGCCCCAAATCGGACCTATAGAAACTGCAAGATAATGTCTTTAATGTCTTTAAGCTGCTATGGTACAAAGGCTTCAAAGTAGTTATTACGAATATATTCAAAGAATTTTTAAAAACCATATTCAAAGAACTAAAGGAAAATGTGCTTGTAACAATGAGTCAAATTTCAAACACAGAAACTGGATACTACGAAAAAGAACCAAGTGGATATTCAGAGGTGAGAAGTACAATAACTGAAAGAAAATGACACGAGGGGACTCAGATTCACAGGAAGTAATGAACAGCATGGAAATGATACAGATGTGGGTAAATATAAGAGACTGTGTGTGTATATATATATATATATATTATATACACACACATATGTATATATATTTTTCCTCTTTTTTCTATTATTTAAATAATTAAAATAATTCAAAGTAATAATTATATCATTTGATTGAGTTTATAACATATATGTACGTCTACAATAACACAGAGGAGGGGGTAGGAAATGGAGTTACACTAATACAAATTTGCTAAATTTTACTGGAATTAACTCGATACTCTACTGAAGAAGATTGTGATAAATTTGGGAAGCATACTGCAATCCTTAGGGTAACTAAAAAATGTAGCTAAGAAATCAACCTTCTTAAGGACATTCTTATCCCCATGATGCAGATGAGGAAATGAGTCCAGGAAGGTGAAATGACCTGCCATAGCTAAGGCTGGCCCCCAGGACTCCTGGCTCCACGCACCGGGACTGGGGGCCAATTCACACCTTCCAATGGGTCAGGTGGAGACACCCAGGCTCAGATTCCCCATCCATCAGTGAAGGGAAATGTTCTTCAAAAAGTAAATTGCCGCCCAGTCTGTAAGAATACTTCCCTTGATACCCTAAAAATATTTTTATTAGTTTTCTACCCTAAAAATCACCACGTTAAGTTGATAGCAGGAGTAAGAGGGATGACTCTCAAACCAAACTGATGAGCAGCGATGCCCAGTGAACGCACACAAAAATGCACGTTTAGCCTCCTTGCACTCTTTTTTTTTTTTTAATATTTTATTTGTTTGACAGAGCATAAGCAGAGGGAGAGAGAGGGAGAAGCAGGCTCCCTGCTGAGCAAGGAGCCCGATGCGGGACTCGATCCCAGGACCCTGGGATCATGACCTGGGCCCCAAAGGCAGACGCTTAACCAACTGAGTCACCCAGGCATCCCCTCCTTGCACTCTTTATGGATTTGGTCAGCATCCATTTTACGCCTGCCTGAATTGTCTTCCCACGCCCTGGGAGGGGCTGACACCCCTTCATCCAGCTCAGACTGACACGCAGAAAGGGTAAAATATGCAGAACATAAAATTTCTCACTTTCACCACTTACGAGAGAACTGAGCTATGCTGGAAGGGGCTCATACCATAGTCCTGCCTGCCAATGAGCTATTTAATCCCATAAAGATAAAATAACTAAAGTACTTAATATTTATTTTTGAATAAACACCCACTGATGCTTATTGCGCTTCACATATTATAATGTGTTATTTATGAAACTAGAAATTTTTTTTTAAAGATTTTTTTTTTTTTTTTAATTTATTTGAGACAGAGAGA